GAATCCGAATCAAAAAGAGCCCACTTTGCACACCCCTAACTAATACGTACCTTTCTGCTGGACACCCACAGAATGCTCAGATTCATTTCTAGGTACTATAAGACCTTGACTTGTGGATTTTACATTGGTTTTAATTGGTATATTAGGGACTTTTATGAGCTTTCTGAATGAGCCTGAATTCTGCCTATAATATTTGAGGAGGTTGGGTTTGCATAAGCATTGTAATAGCCTTAACCCAAGGAGCTTTACTTAAGATAAAATCCTGGAACCTTATGTTACCTTTTGGTTTAAATGGGATGTGTGAATGAGAGATATGAATAGACATAATTAACTTACCTATTTTCTCTCTCTAGTTGCCAGCAAAAGTCCTCTTCTTATCTTCTAATTCTTATGAGTAGATGGATCCTCTCCAAATCTCCTCTTTGGGAAGCTTTTTCCCAGTGGAAACTTTTGAGTTAAGCAGGATCCTCAAAGGCAACTGCATATGGTTTAATTTAACTGAAATAATTTTGCATATTGTTTAATTGTGACATTAGTGTAGCAGAATTCAGGTGGATGATGATAAAAATATTGGTCTCATTAAGGGCCAGGAATTAACTTGTCTTAGGGGAAAAACACCTAATGTTCGGGTCAATTCATTAGAGGGATGTGGGGAGACAGGTTATGCTTAGTTTGTTATAGGTCAGGAGCTGGCAAGAACATAATGATGTAGTATCCCATAGCCTGGGAGAAACATATTTATGTTCCTGCTGTTGCTGTTTCCTTTTTTATGAGTCTAGTAGCCTATGTATCAAGCCAGAAATTCAAATTCAAAATCTACACTAAAATAAAATCAAGTACTCAGAAGTTAGAAAAATGTCATAATTAGGGTTGCCTGTGCAAATTTAATACTGTTCCCTTGCTGTTTGAATTCTGAGGCAATAATTATTCAGATTCCTCCTTTTTTCACAAGCAAATCCCCATCCCTCTTCATTCAGTGCATGGACCGGGTGGGGCTCACTCAAACATTAACTATGGGATATTTTGTTTTGTTCTCATTACTCAATCTCTTGTTTTAATTGCATCTTGTTCAAACTAGCATGGAGGAAAAATATTAATTTGCTTAGACGCTTTTTAGTGTTCTCATCAGTTCAACATTTCACAAAAACTGCATAGAGTATTTTTGTAAACATCCTGTGGGATGAGTGGGAATCAATTTTGTAAATAGGGAACTGAGTCTCAAAGAGATTAAGGTCAGAAGTGTCCACTAATTTGGGGTGCTTAGTTTGAGACAGCAAAATCCTGTTTTCAGAAAAATTAACATTAGCTAGAACTTTGTTTGATTCACAGCTACCATTGGCTTCCATTACAGTTGGGAGTGCACAGCATTTCTGTAAATCAGACACCCACAAAATAAGAAGCACATAAATAATGATCACCTGAGAAATGTCCACTGCAAATAATTCCTCCAGCATCCCATCAGAATGTGGTAGTGGAAACAGGGATAAAATTTAGCCACCTTACCATGACCCCATTCTCCATCTATCTGCATTTTCCTAATACTAATTCTGTAATAAATGAAGCAGTGGTCCTATAGACCAGTGTTTCTCAACATATGGGTCGCAACCCAAAAGTGGATCTCAGGAATATCTGAATGGGTTGCGAGCCAATCCCAGAAACACACAGTAAAGCATGGGTTTCCCCTTGTAGGCTGGAAGCATTCCAGCCTGCAAGGAGCTGCTTGGAGTGACTGGAGGCAGCGGGTGCATGTGCATCTGCATGCGCACGTACACATGGCCAACATGCATCCAAGCAGGGTTGTGGGAGCAGCTCCAGCAACTGGATGCAGATAAGTGTATGGGAAATGGGGGTCTGAGGTCCAGGGCTTGGGGACTGTCTGGGAGGGTGTATGTGTGTGGAGGGGATGAGTGTGTGAGGGGGTGGGGATGGGTGCCTGCTCGCACTGAGAAAATGTGGCCAGGCACTGAGGCTTCATCAGAAGGGACGGGGGGGGGAAGATGCTTGCCCCTCCAGTCGGGGAAGGGGGTGGGGGTAGCTGCATGGCTGAGCCAGTGGCACCAGGGCCAATGCCTGTACCCACAGGAGGGGACAGCCAGGAGATGCTGCTCACTGGGGGCACGAGATGCCATGATCAAGCTCCCTGGCAAGGCGTGGGAGGCCCTCTCCAGGCAGGAGGGGTATCACAGGCCTCCCCTCCTCCTCCCTCCAGCCAGTGCCAGGACTGGACTCACTCTGCTGCTGCCTGCATGAACTAGAGTCACTGCAACCACTGCTCTCCAGCCTGAGCAGGACAGGGGCAGCTGGGGGCCCCTTATGGCAGGACTGGAGGGCCAAGGGACTGTGGGTGGGGAGTAAGGGGCACCATCAAGACTATGGCCAGGGTTCTGTAGGTGGGGAGTGAGGGCACCAGCAGGGCCAGAGGGCTGTGGGTCAGGATTGGTCATAGATGTTTATAAATGAGTCCTGATACAAAAAAGGTTGAGAACCACTGCTATAGATAACATCCTTCTACACTAAGCAACCTCAAATCATTCCTAGAACACTTCCATCCTGTTGTTCTTTGGCAATTCCTTGCAAGTGAGGATGATTGTCTGCCATGATTGTCTTATCTGTGGGTCTGAAGATGGCTAACAAGGCCAGTCCTGGATCACAGAATTTGTTATAGCATGGGAATGTGTTTCCTTGCAGGGTGAGTGACTCTGGATTCTTGATTCAGTCCATGACATGCTGTTTCTGCCACTCCTACTTTTCTATCTCCTCTTGTCATCACAAGGTTTCAAAGTACTGAAATCCTTGCAGCAGATTCTTCCTCCATTTGGGGCAGCCCTGGGTGATGGTCTCCCATGAGCTGATGTCAATGTTGCATTTTTTCAAGTTGGCCTAGAGGATGTCCTTGAAGCATCTTGTCTGCACTCTTCTTGAGCGTACACATTGACTGAGGTGGGGGAATAAATCTTGCTGTAGGAGTCTAGAGGTGGACATCCTTATAACTTGGCTGGCCCAGCAAAATTGATGTCAAATGATCATCGCCTCCATGCTCATGGTGTTTACTTGGAAAGGGATGCCAATATTGGTGTGTCTGTCTTCCCACTGGATTCAAAGGATCTTCCACAGACAGTGCTGATGGTGCCTTCTCCAATGACTTGCAGTGTCTCCTGTATGTTATTTACATCTCAGGTCTGTACAGTAAGGTAGGGATCATGACTGCTTGATAAACCATGAGTTTGATTTCAGATCGGATATTGCAATCTTCAAAGACCCATTTCCTATGGCATCTAAAAGCTGCACTTGCATACTTGAGGTGATGTTGGATTTCTTCATTAATGTCAGCCTTCTGCAAAAGATGGTTTCTAACATACAGGAAATACTCAACATGCACCAGAGACTCACCATGAATATGAATTACCAAAGCTGAGGACTGCTTATTGAGAGCTTGTTGATGGAGGACCTTAGTCTTTGTTGTGTCTTATTGTGTTTTCCTTGTCCCTTTAAGACCAAAAGCCCTCATGTTCAGCACTGCAGGGTACAGTTTGCTTTGTGGCAGTTTTGCAACACTGGGATTCCATGTTCTCTGCCATGTGGAGCCAGAGGAATTCTTGGTTCCTCTCCCTCCACAGAACTAGACTTGGTCAAGTCAAAGGCAGAGCAGGTATAAGATCTGCATATATACTGATGCAATTGTTAAGATCTACCCTGGATATGATTCCAGATAACTAATAATAAATAACTGTAATTCAACACAGGAGTGTCCAGAGTGTTGTTGCTGAACTCACAACATATTAATCTTCTGAAAGCATGAGTCCTAACACAGACTCCATCATTATCATTATACTGGACCTCAATAATTGAGGCTGGGATAGTCTTGGTTTTGACTCAGAGACAACTGAGATTAAACAGCCTAGATTAAATATTCATTCAAGAGTTTAGTTCCACTCTGTCTGGAATCTTGTTGGCGGTCAGATGCAGCACTGCAGTAAGGAATATCAAGAAGAGTGTTGGAGTGGTGATGCAGACTTACTTATTTCCAGTCTTAATCTCAAAGGTAACTGTGAACCCTGAGCTCTGATACTGAGAACCATTGCTCAAATACCATCATGAAGTAAGAAAAGGGTGGTAACAAATTTTGGTGGGCATCCATACTTCAGAAGAATCCTCCAAAGTGCATTAAACTTGACAGAGCTGAAGGCTTTCATGAAGTCAAAGAAGGTCATGTAGAGAGATTTATGTTGTTTCCAGCATTTTTTCTGCTGGCAATCTGTGAAGATTCTGTCAGTTGTGCCTCTTGATGCACTAAACTAACACTGCAATTCCAGGAGGAGGTCTGCAGCAAGTGGAGGAGATGATTCGGGAGGTTTCTCACAAGAACTTCCCTATGGTAGACAGCAAGGTGATCCCTCTATTATTTTCAAAATCAGACTTGTCCCCTTTCTTAAAGACTGTCACAGTCATGGGGTCCATCAGTTCATTGGGATTCCATAATCATTACAAATTCTTGAGATGAGGGCAGGGAGGTATGATTTGAGCTCCTTTCCCCCTGCTTGAAGATCTTGGTGGGGATTTAGCTCCAGGTGCCTTATCTGTCTTCATCTGCTTGATAGCTTTCCTCAGCTCTCCAAGGGTTGGAGGGACTCTGAGATTGTCTGTGACTGGGTTGCAAGATGGAATTTAGAACACTCACATCAACAACAGTGTCTCAACTGAAAGGTCTTCAGAATGCTCTTTCCAAAGGGTATTGATGGCTACCCTTTCCTTGATTAGGTCTCCTCCGTCCTCAGGTCTCAAAGGGCTTGGTCCTTGAATGTGCAGACCATAGATGGCTTTGGTAGTACTAAAGAAACTGTGCATGTCATGGATGTCAGCAAGACAGTGAATCTCCTTTTCCTTGTCTTCCCACCATCTGTTTTTCATATCATGGGTCCTCCTTTGGACCTTTGTCTTGCCTTGTTGGTGATTCAATTTCTTTTGCTTGGAGTTGACATCATTTTGCCAAGCACAAAAAGCCTTGCATTTACAGTTAATCAACTCTTGGATCTTTTGGTTATTCTCATCAACACAGTTTTGATGTTTCCTAGTAGAGAATCCAAGTGCCTCTTCATAGGCACTGACAATAGTCAATTTGAAAGCACCCCAGGTGCTGCTGACAATCTCCCATTGTTGTTCATTGGAATTCTCCGGGTTTTCGTTGAGGTAGTAGTAGAAGCGGTCTTGCTTGGTTGGATCCTTGACCCCTTTAACATTGATCTTCCATTGGCATTGCCTCTTCTGCAGCTGTCATTTGGGAACCAGTTTAAGTGACATAACCCCATGAATGAATCAGTGATCAGTCTAGTAATCATCAGCTTCTAGCATAACTTGTGTGATGCAGACATCTTTGTGATCCTAGGCATGAACAATGAGGTACTTAATCAAGTGCCAATGAATTAGATCATGGGTATTGCCATGATTTCTTGTGCCAGTTTTTCTGTCTGAACAGGGAATTAGTAATAGTGATTCCATGTTTCACACACTTCATTAAATGGAGAATGCCATTGGAGTTAACATTTCCTACTCCGTCCTTGCCAATGGTTCCATTCCAGAGGTTTTAGTTCCTTCCAACTCTAGTGCTGAAACTATGGAGAAGAATAAATCTGTCTCCCTCTGGAACATCAGAAGGGACTTGGTCAAGATTGGCATAGAATCCCTCCTTGGTTTCATCGGTGGCATCAAGAATTAGGACATATGTGCTGATGACAGTGGTGTATTGGCTCTCGACCAGTTTAAGACTTAGAGTCATGAGGAGCTCATAAATTATGGTAGGGAACTCATTGAGTTGGTTTATGAGGTGGTTCTTCGTGGCCATCATTATCCTTCCTGTTTACTTTAGAAGAAGATATAGCCACCTTCATGTTCTTTGAGCCATCAGACTCCTACTCACTGGGTTTCACTCAGGGCAGCAATGTCAATGTCATGTTGCCTGAGTACTCAAGCCATGATTGCAGTGCAGCACTCTAGGCATTCACTATTAAGTTTGTCCATGATGGTTATGATGTTCCAGGTCCCAAAACTGATTGCATGTCTTTATTGATTTTGATTGCAGAAAAGGGGATCCCACGGGCTGTGGTTATCCATTCAGGAAGAAGTTAAGCTAAATTTTGGACACATTTTCTAACCCCCTTCCCACATGGGGTGAGAAGAGTGTATCCTGAAGAGGGCTGCTAAGTCACAGTTACAGTTGCCAAAATGCTGTCCTGCCTCATCCAAATTCTAGATCCCTTCTTATAACTTCTGTCTTCATGCCAGTTCATAACTAGGAGCTTCTAGACTTCACAATCCTCCTCCTGTCATCACTATCTGTTTACCAAAAGGCTTGAAAACTATGTTGTAAAAATTGTTTTCATGGAAAATGCCTGTGCATGATTTCTTTTGTTGTGAAAAAGCTGCTGCACATCAGCTTCCACATGATTCTTAACCAAATGGGACCTTAATCCAATGGCAAGGAAGCCAAAACAACTGGGGATCTTGCTCTGCTGCAGTCCTCATCTGCCTTTGCAGCCACTGAGATTTTAACATTTCCTCCACTTGCCAATGCTCTTCCATTGAGATAGACCCATGACTGGGGACTGGGCAAACTTATTATCATGGCAACCTGTACTTACCACATAACATCACC